TATCTAAACATACATAGATATAATAGCTATAGGAAAATCACTAAAAAATGGCGTGCATGTCATCAAATTATTTGATAAATGCATGAAGTATCAAATAAAATGCGTAATTTTGTCACCGATTTTTTACTTAAATTTCAGATACAAGACATATATAAATATAAATATTTTTTTATATCTACATTATTGCTTTGTCAATGATTATTATATAAACAAATTACAGTTAAATGTAGATATTAGCAAGCATTCTGAATGAAAACTGAAAAATGTAAAACTATAATTGGTTAACATTGGTGAGTCTAGGCTTTTGGTGAGATTCTATTCACAGTCCGTAAACTGATACTGGGTGCAGCTGAAACACGCTAAAAGATCTATGTATTTTCAATAAAAGCAGCACCTCCCCAGTGCAGTGCAAAATGACGATTTCGACTATTTATTGGTTTTGGCATTTTATTGCAATGAAAATCGCAGTTTTAACTAAACAAAATACAGACTTAATTTCAAATTTGTTAAAGAAAACTGTTAAAGATAAAAAAATAAACTTGAAAATAATAAATGTTAAATTAGAAAAAATAATACAATCAAAAGTGACAGAAATTTCAGAGTTGCAGAGAAAATGCCATGACTACCAACATAAAAGCATTTTTATATAGGGTTGCCAACGTTCAAAATAAAAAATAGAGGACGAGAGGGAAAAAAAGAGGCGCAGGCGAAACATTTTTTGAAACCTCGGCCAAATGTCCAAACCAAAAAAAAAGGCTTTTTTGCAGTAGGCTATGCAAAACAATGCCGCCTCCGTTTATCGTCTAACATCTGTTGATAAAACTATTTAATCACATGTTCATATTTTATATTACAACTCATTAATTAAAATACAGTCAGATGTGCTACTGTTTTATCACCGCCAAATGACACATTGCCAAATCAGAAATACCTCGAATCGTGTTCTAAACTTGTAGGTGTAAAGGTATAAATAAAACAAAACGGGTGTCTGAATACAAAAGCGATTACAGACCGCGATATGCTCGAGCTTAAGGCTGATAAACTGTAAAGAATTCGCATTTTCTTTTTTGTTTTGTAATACCAAAGTTTGTAATACAAAGATACGCCTCTACAGAGGTGCAAATTGTTTGAGAAAATATAAGGTATAGTTGCATCAGAGAGTTATTACGCACACGTAGATATGAATCTATATTAGGTTTAGAATACAAATTCGGATTTCTATAGGGATTGGTACATTTTAGCTACAAAAAAGTAGAAGTGAGAGAAATGAGAGAATAAAAGGAGTGCAATTAATGAGTGTGAATAAAACGAGTCTTTTAAAAATTATTTTATTTCAAGTCAAGTCATTTTTGTAAAGACTTAAATCATGATGACCTGCATGCGGAATAAATTAGTGGTTTCAATTAGCGTAGATGTTTGTTCCTCTTATTTTAATGTAAGTATTCAGAATGTTAAAATTAGTGGTAGACATTTTCAATTAGTAGAAAAAGTTATCAAACTTTTGACTTTTCCACTAATTATACTTCAAAATTTGCAAAAAATGTTATTAATATATAAAAATCTGATTTAAGCCTTTTATAAAAAGACTTAAATATTTTTAATGACTTAAGTCTTAAAAAGACAAATCTTTTGAATGACAAGTCTTTTCTAAAGAGACTTAAATCTTTTTCTATTTCGGAATAAAGATTTAAATCGTACGTATAAAGTTCGTACGAATTCGCTTTCAATGTAACCCCAGCCTTATTATTCTTATGACTACTGTGGTAGAGGTGGGCAAAGATTGAACGAGTCGTTCATTTGAACGAATATTAAAAATGAATCGTGATCATGAGATTCGATTCACTGCTTAGAATACGGTTCGTTCAACTGAATCGCGATCAGCACGGATCCATAAAATTAGAACGAACGAGTTGTAAAAAAGAGTCGCGACAATTGAATCGGATGACAATGCGATCGTTCGTTTCTACGGCGCACAGTGCTTCGAACATATGACTCTAGAGGACAAAAATCCAAAACTTCTCTTTTATTGTAAGCAATTTATTCAAACTAGGTTTATTTGACACAAATGATGAGTACTCTCATTGTACTAAATGATGATGTTCTTAGTCCCACGTTTATGAAAAAAAATCTTATAAATAATAATAATGTTGGAGCTGTGTTCCATCTAAGCAAATAATAAGTTATAGTATGAAAACGGTGTAAGTATTAAATAAATTCCTGTGATAAAAAAGAATTGAAATAACATTAGAACATGATTCCTACAATATAAGCCTAATATAAGATAAAAATGTTTTTCTTTAATGAAAAAGAAACATTAATGTTATATTTAATTAAAAAAAAAGAGAGATATTATAAATTTACTTTAGGACAACAAAATGCATAGATCGTAACTACTCTGATTCAGGCGAATCACTGCTGACAGAATCTTCCAAATTTATAGTATCCAAATCACAGGTACATGAAGTATCCTCACATATAAGATATTTCTGTACATCATTTTCTAATATGTTACTTTTTCGCGTTGTTAGTGTTCATTTTGTCGGTATGAGGGGTTCGAATGTTAATAGTTACCTCTTTAAGAGACCATATCCATATATTATTTTTTCCTTTTCTTGGGTATGAGATTTTATAATAAATTGAAAGATGGGGGGGGGGACACTTTTTTTATGCGACGTTTCGCTCCAACATAGTGGACTTTTTCAGGCACAAGTGGTGTCTCATTTGACTGGAAGGTTCATCAATATCTAATAAGAACATATTTTTTGAAATACAAATAATTTTGAGTTCTTGTCCTTATGATCAAGCCAAGTATTAGCCTGATCGGCATTGCTTATCAATTTTACTCCATCTGAAAAGTATTATAAAATAAAGTTCTTCGCAAGCAGACGCAGGTGAACTATACAAAAATTAAAAGTATGAATATGGCAACAAAAATATTCAATAAATATGATATGTTTTGATATGTTTTTTTTAAATGCCTTTTTGAAGTTTGAAAACGTAAAATTTTTATACCCATTTAAAAATCATCTTAAAAAATAAATAAAAACTAAACAATCACGAACTTGTTTAGAAATAAATTTAAAGTACATACCTTGTTTAACAATATCCATAGTGGCTTTCAATTAAGTACGTACCCGTTTAACTCCATAATATACAGAACTACTATGAATGTTATTCTTTTCACTGATGAGATAATGATCGCAAAATTTATTTTTAGTGAACATATTTGCTAACAAAAACGCTATTTATGAAAAATAATATACAGGATGGTTGAACATTGCTATAGGTATAAAATTATATATTCAGATATTAGTAAATTTTAACTTATTTTTTGATTTTTGTCCATGGGACGAAGCACTGTGCGGCGGGGCGGTGATATAAGTATAGATAGACAAACATCATGGGCATAAAATGCAAACGATAAGAAAGTTTACAAGAAAAAAAAATACTTATACTGTTCTTAGTTATATATACCGGGTGCGTCTCAAGAGTGTCTCACCCCTATAATTTTTTATTTTATTTTCAGATAAAAAAACGAGATTTGGTATGTTAGTATATGACAAAGTTGGATTGACTAACGTATTCACTAGTTTTTGGTCACTTCCTGTTTCACCGGGAATGACTACGACTTTTGATTTTTAAATGACACCCTCGGTATTTTTTTTACTTTATTCGATAGAAAATGAAATTCTGAATAGAATGGCATATCATATGTCAACTTTTGACATTTTCGCTTAAAACAAAATTGTATTTTAAATTTCAATTTAGAGTGCCATGGCTCATGGCTATGTTAAAAACACTAATTCTTAATCAAGGAGCCTCGGAAAAATAGATTTGACCGTCTAATGTTTTTAGCGTCTTGTCTCGGTCAGTTAGAAAATGCCCAAATTGTATTTTTAATTATATCTCATTTTTTTCAAATGGAACCAGGGTGGCTCATTGACAACAGAGGCGCAACTAAGGGGGCCAGGGGGAGCTTAGCCCCCCCCCCCCCAGATATCCCGTGCGTGTCTTATAAAATTGGTCTTAACCTCACATCAATATTATCTTATAGTGACCTAAGCCACCCCAAAAGAGTTAAGCCCCCCTAAAAGTATATGTCTAGTTGCGCCCCTGCAAATAAACCATAAAATGATATGTCATTCTATTCAGAGTGTTAATTTCTATCGAATAAAGTAAAAAAAAATACCGAGGGTGCAATTTAAAAATCAAAAGTTTTAGTCATTTCCGGTGAAACAGGAAGTGACCGAAAACAATTCAATACCCATCAATCAATCCTAATTTATGTCATAATATACTACTACACCAAATCTCGTTTTTTAACTGAAAAAGTAAGGAAGTTCTAGTGGTAAGCCACTTTTGAGACGCATCCGGTATAAAGAGTATCCGTAACGCATTTAATTTTCACGTTAACATTTTTGTTAAAATAATATTTACCGACTATAAACGGGCTAAAAGACGAAATCGTGTTTTTATGCAACTCCAAATAAATATTGTTGGTCTCTGCTCAATATGGTAAAAAACGTCATCCGCGATGATTATGAAATAAAGATTGCTGTGATTTAAAAATTATATAGGGAATGTCATAGATGTTTATTTCCAAGCTAACTGGACGCCATTTTTTTGATCATACGGTATTTATATTATAAACTGTTTATTATATGATTATTAAATCAGAATTAAAATAAAATATGCTAAAAATATTAAATTGGTATTAAGAAGTAGCAAATAGTATAAATGAATTGGATTGATGAATCTAATATTCATGATTTTTGATGATTGATTTTAATATTATTGGTAAATAATCAATCCAATTACGCCAGTGCAATAAAGCGTTGAAAAACAAATGAAAGAACTGTATATTTCTTTTTCTGGTCCCTTAAGTAATTATCCCACCAAATATTGTGCTGCGGTTCGTTCAGTCTAATCACAAGAAATTGAATCGTGTGATTCGTTTCACTAAAAAGAATTGTAATGCTTATACTATACTGTGTATCTACCTAGGCGCGTTAGCGAAAATATTCCACCAGGACCCTCGCTTCTCCCTGCGCACCTGCGGCGGGAACCCGAACTGGTCCAGGTCCAGGTCCTTTTTGCGCTTGCGCTCGAACTTGATGGCGTGCCAGGACTTGCGCCGGCCCTTCTTGCTCGCCACGATGGCCGCCTGCTCCTCTTCGTCGATGTCGGCGATGTTGGGCCACGAGCCCTCCGGATGGCGCATCGTCACTTTTTCCGGCACCACCTGGATCGAAGGGGACGAGGGTATTTTTATGTTGTCGTTTAAGAGTTATGGTACGGGGTATCTATATAGAGTTCCATTTTGTTTAAATGTTCGGACATTGTATATTATTTCAACCTTTTGCGCACAGAAAATACCATCACCAGAATATTTTATGCAAAAAAAATAAAAAATAAAAATGCAATACGGCATTTTATTGAGCATCAAATTGCGCAACTTTGCCTCCATTTAACCGATCCTGTATCTCTTACGGTTTCCGAAATCCCAATGATGAGCGTCGAATTCGAGCCACCCTGTACACAGGGTGGTCTGAACTGTATTCGGGTGACTTCGGCAGCATATATTCTGCAAATAAAAATAAGTAAAAAAGTTGGTATAAATGAATGTCCTAAAATGATTAGTTTTGGAGATACAGGGTGTAGAAGTTTCATTTTTATTTCGATTTTTTCCAAATAATTTCTGAAGTAACTTCAATATTTGAATGAAAATTGGTGTTTGGGCGTTTTTTGACGTGAGAAATTTGATTTTGATGTCAATATGACTCCTACTTGTAGAGAGCGCCACCTACATATTTTTAACTGATTTGAAGAGTAATAACTTTTCGTCCGTACCTGTATATAACTACTGAGTAAAAAAATATACATTTACGGCGTTTTTTACGTAAAAAAGGTCTCTTGGTAAAAATCGCTACGAGTAAGGCTACGGTCAGAGTGGAACCGTCTTCGGCCGAATTAGTTTTCGGGCGTTTACGGCCGAATACTCCGAAATTTTTAATCAACGATTCGGACCCATGAATTTGGCCGATTTTTTCGGACATCGGACGTAAACAAAATAATTTGTTTTTTTCGGGCATACGCTGCGTTTTTCTTCGTGGGACTGAAATTACAGTAATTTAACTATGTTCAAATAACTGCGGAAAAAATATGATATTCTTCAAACCTTATGCTCGAGCGAAATATATAATTAGTATAAAATATCTAATTTTCTTAGTAATAATAATTTTAATACACTACTACTTTTGAAAAATAAAATCTTTTATAAATTAATTTTGCACTATAGAAAACTTTATTCGGCTACAGTAAACACAGACTCCTGAAAGACGTCTATTTTCGACCGAAAACGATGCCACTCTGACTATACGCCACGGCCGATCTATTCGGCCGTAAAAGCCAGAAAATATTTCGGCCGAAAACGGTTCCACTGTGACCGTAGCCTATGGTTCTCGAGATATTTAAAACCGAAATTATCAATACCTTTTCATCTTTGACATAAATTGAACATGTTGAATAAAATAATTAGATTCAAATCGTAAATTTTAAATGATTTTGTGTCAAAGGTTCAACAGAAACTGTTTTATCATCATTTTTTGGAAGAAAAATTTATAATTAAAAAAATTAAAAGTTTATCATTCACAAATTTATCATTTCAGTCAAATAACTATCTACTCTCTTAACATACTTATTTTTTGTCAATAATGACATGTATTGGCTATTTACAATCTAAATATCTTGAGTTGCTCGTAGCGATTATTACAAGGAGACATTTTTTACGTAAAAAATCACGAAATATATATTTTTTCACCCAGTAGTTTTATATAGGTACGGACGGTAAACAAGTTATTACTCTTCAAAACAGTTAAAACACATGTAGGTAGCGCCCCCTACAAATAGGAGTCATATTGACATCAAAATCAAATTTATCATGTCAAAAAAATCCCAGACACCAATTTTCATTCAAATATTGACGTTAGTTCAGAAATTATTTGAAAAAAATCGAAATAAAAATGAAACTTCTACACCTTGTATCTCCGAAACTAAGCATTTTAGGACATACATTTATACGATTTTTTTTACTTATCTTTATCTGCCGAATATGCTCCCGAAGTTTCCGAAAAACAGTTCGGACCACCCTGTATATCACTTATTTACAGTGTACAGGGTTATTCACCTCATACGAGACTGAGTATTGTAGCCACACGATTAAATTTTTGCAAATTGTAAGTTTTGGGTTCGTTGAAGGACTACTAAAGCTACAATTTAAAATTATTTTCAAAAGGTATAAAGTATAGAGTGTCCCAAATAAATAAAGAAATATCAAAGCTGTTTTTTTTAATGGAACACCCGGTATATTAATTAATTTTTCGTTTTTACGATTAAAATAAAGGTAAATTTAATTAAAGTTTACTGCAGTTTTATTTTATACAATGTTTATGAACAACAATCTTTATTCTGAATAAAAATCACACTTGCTTAATATGTATAGCTTTTAGTAAACAGAGAAACAAATAATTGATTTAGTGATTGATTAAATTAAAACTTTAATGCGATAATAATATGCAAAATTATTGTTCAAAAAAATAATATATATTTAAAACTGGTAACTGCGCCTTAAACAAATAATCGTTAAATAATATGTTACACTTTTGGTAAGGCAGAGAAACAAATAAATGATGCCCTGATTGTTTAAAATAAATATTTTGAGAGATAATGCAAAACAGGTCTAAATAAACTGTGTATAACTAAAATTGGCAACTATACCGCGTAAACAAATTAATTATTATGATTTGCGATGAATATTAATGATTAAAACATTCCATTTAATTTATAAGTGCTCATATAAAATTCAGTTATGAATTCTTCTCGAAAAGTAATTAAGAACATTATTTCTTTCTTTTGTTTTAGAAAATAAATAAACTAAAAATAGTTTAAAATGAAAGGGAAGCTTTATTAGTTTCTCTTCAAACTACCCAGCTTTTAAAACTTCTCAAAACACAAAATATAAAAATTATCTGTTCAAAATGTAATAATTTAGAATAAAAAAATTAATAGATATAATAAATGTGATTTTCAAATTATATTAATTGGAAATGAAACATCATTTTTGAAATAAATAGATGAAATAACTTAAAGATCTTGGCAAGGTTAAAGAGGATACATATTTCTCTCTAATAAACTTGAAGTGATAATAATGTGAAATAATAAAATAAATTTATACTGTCAGAAAAATATTCGAACCGTCTCGTCTGCGTCTGGAATGTTATTAGTAAAACATTTTCAAAAATTGAAAATTAATTGGAATAAAAATACATGTCATCTTGTTAAGCTCTGTCTACACATAATGTTTTAATTGTCAGTTTGGCCTGTTCAGTCAAAATGTATCGAGTAAAACCTTGTATGTAGACGGAAAAAACGAACGTTTGTTTTATTTGCCGGTCTAAAAAACTGAAGTCTGGATCATCTGAAGTGATACAAACTATAAAATAAAATATTTTTCGAAAATGTTTTTTTAATTTGCAGCTAATCTTATTTGCAATATCTAATCTCGATAACATGGTACGGTAGCAGATAGAGAGAAATTTAAAAAAAAGCAAAGGAAACTACAGTTTCCTTATACTATGGTACAATCGCGGTTATACTAATTTTATTGATTGATATGCTTTCCTTAGTTTTTTTTTTAATTCAGTCATAATCAATTCGTTTTAATATATACAAGGTGTCCCAGAAATAAGTGCAAGTATTTTAACTGGTAGTAACGGTATTAAGTAATTTTATTCAACTCTAGAAACACGCCTATGAGGTTTTTTTCGCGAATTTTCTTTTTGAAAATTCGGAATTTTTTGAAAAAATTTTGGATTTTTTTTAGTTTTTAGTTAAAAACATAATTTCTTGATAATATGGCAACATAGATAATAGATTAAATTTACAAGAAAGAAAATCCAGAAAAGATCCAGTGGTTCTCAAAATTTGGGCAAAAAATATTTTTATTTTTGGAAATTTTCAAAGTAAAATAATTCCGTTATTTTGGGCTTATTTGAAAAACGATAAAGAGATAATATTAAATATTTTCTATAAATAATTTTTTTTTATTTTATCGAGATCTACCACCCCTTAAAATACTTGCACTTATTTCTGGGACACCCTGTATGTGATAATAGGTTATAACTTACAATAAACAACGAAATTCTATAAATAATCGTAGTAGATTTAAAACAGAAATTTAGTAAACTAAGGACAATATTTCATTTGGCGCCTACGCCTATAACTAAAAAAATTAAAATTATTTCCTGAAGTCTAAAAATATCAGTTTTGTGTTGTATTCAATTAATTAGAAAAGAAACACTGAAAAAAAATTGGCGCCAGTCCTTTTAATTTTTAAAGAAAATGCGAAAATAGCTACTATGTTACGAGAGTTACGAGTGTACTGGACAAATGAGATTCTTTTATGACATGGCGCCAAGAAGAAATATTTGTTTTTTGGGGGGGTTATAAACAGCAATTTCAAGTTGATGTACAGGGTTAGCCAACGATATAGCCAACGATGACTCACGCCCTATTACCTTTTTATTTTTTCAGATAAAAAAAAAAACGAGATTTGGTACATTAGTATATGACATAATTCAGGATCGTTTAACGTATTCATTTTTTTTAGGTCACTTCCTGTTTCACCGGAAATGACTACAACTTTTGACTTTTAAATAACAGCCATCGTATTTTTTTACTTTATTTGATAGAAAAAGACACTCATCATATATCAACTTTTGACATTTTCGCATATGGTTTTAAAATTGTAACATGCGGTTTATAACGACAATTTGACTCGAAATACCAAATGTGTGGTACCAAATTAATCGTAAAAAATGCTTTTACCAAATATGCTAATAAGCCACCCTCGCTCCATTTGAAAAAAGTATAGTAATATGATTAAAAATACGATTTGGTCATCTTTTAACCGGCCAGGGTGACACGAAAAACATTAGACGATCAAATCTGTTTTTCCAGGACTCCTTGATTAAATATTAGTGTTTTAACACAGCCATGTAGAATGTAGAATGTTTAGGAGGGGAGTTAATCACCGTGACCTTATAGATCTATTGTGTGTTCCCCTTTCTTGAGTTATAACGAGTTATAACTCATCATACAGTCTCAGGGCTTTGACAAAAGCCAGTATCTGAGACGGCTCCACAGAGGCCAGCTCTCCATCCTCGACATCAGACGTTCATGGCA